TAAAACAGAGAAATACTAATATTATTAATCAATATGGTTTTGTGGGAAAGAAATCTTGCCAAATAAGTTTGATGATTCCTTTATGAGTTTAAAAGTATGTCTTGTAGTAGAACCTGCAATTGAACAGTGAGATGCAATGACAAATGTTAACATAACTGTGAGATCCACAAGCAAAATAGCAACCAAGAAGCAAACCTAAGTTACCCTTTTGAACAGAGTGTTGGTGAGACCATGCTGTATTGCTCAAAACGCAGGTAGACACATGAGGATGCTGCTGAGAAACTGGCAGGCAAAATTGTTTTGCTGAAGAGCAGGGATCTCTTGAGGACAAACTTCATCACTCAGCCTCTGAAGTCATAGCATTTGGCATCTACTACTCAGTTCCTTTTTCACAGGATATTAAACATTGCAGTTTCACAGCTGTCCTACAAGGATGTCCAAGACAACTGAGACAGAGCATGGCAACACCTTGTCTTTGTTATGTTGTATTCTGATGTTCCCCATCAAATAAGATTACTTCTTCAAACTTAAAGACTCAAAACAAACAAAAAACCCCCCCTAAGAAATTCTTAATTTGGAGTCTGGGCCAGGAATCTTCTGTAGCTGTCAGCAAGGCACAGTGTCTTCGCTATGTCCCCATTTTTCAGACTGTCTTTGATTACAGTAAAATAACTCTGAGGGAAGGACAGGGTTGGGAGATGAAGAAAGCACTTGAAAGGAGAAAATATGCTTGTTTGTCTTATTAAGGACCAAGAATAGCTGTGGAGAATACCAGGCCTGACCTAATGATATTCAAAACACAATAGTTTTGGAACCATGCAAGACATGGCAAGTTGGAAAAGGATGTGGTATGGCGTCACAATGTTTGGATACTGCTGTGTAGCTCAGGAAAAACTGCATACCTGGGGACAAGCACTCTTCTCAGGTTACCTAGGTGTCACCCACACTTCCTTTGTTTCCTGAGCATGACTTCTTACACTCCTTGAGGAGGAAGAATATCCTACAGCATTTGCGTGGTATCTCTGACGCCTGGCGGCTGCAGCTGTCGGCGATTCCCTGCGATAATGATGAGTAGCAACACATTTTGGTATATTGGAAGGAATTCTGATCTTTTGGGTTCTTTTTTGGTCCCTTTAGTTCTGTAACCAGCAAATGTTTTAACCTCTCCGCTTGTGCAGAGAAAAGTATATGGTCTCAGTAAAACAAATGTATTATTTTTAGGATATGACATCACCGTCAGAGGTTTTCTGGAGAGTTCCCACTTACTGACAAGCAGGAACCTAACACGAGCAATTGGACTGCCACAAAAAAATGAAGAGAAAAGCTCTGTTTATGTAACTGCCAAACTTTCCTTTCCAGGATAACTGAGGTCCTCATCTGGCAAAATGCGTGTGTTGGGATCCTGCCAATGCATTTTAGGGCAATTGTCTAAGCTTCTCTCCTTGACAGCCTGGTACTAAGGTAGGTCTGTTCTTCCTGCCAAAGATCAAACACAGATCTCTTCAGAGTATACTAATGCTGCTCCTGGCTCAACAAGAGAGGTCACTAGAAAGAGAAAGAAAGAGGAGATTCTTTCCCACTGTAAAAACTTAGCGCTCTTTGCCTTTTTAAGGCTTACAGTTTCTTCTGGCATGGGACCAGAAAATGCTATGAAACTGATGATCCATTAGGGAGAACTGAGAGGAAAATGTGGAATCAAATATTCAAAACAGAATCCACAAACTTCTTATCAAATAAAAAGACAGAAGAGGAAGGGGAGAGGTCTTTAAGGATGGACATGATAAGTTTTGATGAAGACTGTCTTTGATTTAAAGCTTTATTTCTGATGAAATAAACATGGTAGAATAAGGTCAAGGTTTTCTAATACAGAGTAATTCTTATAAACTTCAGCTAAATTTACTATGCTAACAATCAAACCTTTCCCCTCTTTTAAAACCTCTTATAACTAAACCTTGTATAGTCAGGCTTAGAAAAAAAAAACTTGTAAATTTGATCAAAATATTCATTCTCACAAATAACTGGATCAAAAAAAAAGTACTACATAATTTCTAAAATACATCAAATACCTTTCAGCATTATTAGCAAGACCACTAGTGGAGTTAAAATAGTTTCAAAAATTTAAACTGGAATTACTCATGACTTGTAGTTTCTCCAACTATTATGTCATGGTCTTAAATTTTTATAGAAACCATTTGTTTAATCCATTTTTACAAAAATATTAGAACTAATGAAAACTATTGTATATATAATGTTAACATTGCTGAATTACCAGGAAAGTCCATCTGAAGGTCAATTAATCAACACGACCAGCCTCTTGCATGCAGGCTGTAAAGCCTATACAATTACAGTTGTTCATCTTTCCCAGTCGCTACTCAGCTTAACTTTGTTCTATGTTTCCTACTTTAATGACGCATGGAAGTATGCTGGAAATAAGTAAATAAGGATCATTTATTAAATCTTAATACTGAGATTTAAATGGCACTCTACACTTAATACAAATCTTAGACTGCCTGACCTTTTTACCATGCTGTGCACAATACAGGTGTTCAATATGCTTCTGTTGCATAATCTCCATTTGTGAAACACAATGTCATGAGATGGAAAAAAGGAAGGGTAAATGCATTCTGCATCAGCATTCTGGCAGCAACTCTAATTTTATGCAGCAGATAAATTTTGTTATGAAAACATCATGCAAATAAACTTTTTCCGTTCTTTTTTCTACAGAAATATCACTGTTCTTAATATCTGTGATCAGTCAGACACAAAAACACAAACCTGTCAAAAACACAGCCAAGTATGTTCTTTTGCAGTGAATAACCCAGCGCTGGTTTAGCTTCTTTTGCTAGAGTTTACTCCAAGCAAGGGGACAAATTCTGGAGGCTTTTCTCTCTATCTGAAGCATGACCTGATCATACTCGGTGCAACTCTTGTTTCTGTTCCAAGAGAATGTCATGTCTAAATGGTTTTACCCTTAGAATCATTCTCTCAAGGAAAGCAAAGTTTCAAATACATGTATCACAAGAATCTGTATCAGCAGACTTGACTGAGCAATAGTACTTTACGTGCAATGGACCACAGCTAAGTGGGATAGCTCTAACAGCTGGAGTTATCACCAGTCACATTTATGTTCAGAAGTAAAGAAGAAAGGTAAATCACTTGTCTCATGCTGTGCTCAAACATGCTTTTTGCATGGAGATCCCTGTTTCCTGAACTTCTTAACAGAATTGTGCTTCTCTATGACAGCAACATCAACTATAATTACAGAAAAACGTAGAGAAGTTAGGGTAGTTCATTCTTTATGCTGACACATGCATGACACTGAGAACTGTGGAAATTAAACAGGTACTCCCAGATAAGGGAAATATAGTCTTCTGATTTAATGATTCCACTCTCCTGCTTTCACAGACACCTAATGATGGCCTTCATTTCATTAACTATCAAGCTTCAACTTAAAATTATTTATGTATTTATGTATTATTATGTATTAATGTATTTGTCTCAGTATTCCTCTTAAGAAGTCATTCCAGAGTTCCATTACTTTGTTGGTTAGAAACCAACTTGATCATGTTTAGCTTATCAACTGTTCTGTGCATTTATCCTTGTGCCAACATTATAATTTAAATAGCTCTTTACCCTCCCTGTTCTCTCCAAATTATATTTATATAAAGCAATTCTACCCCCTTAAACTTTTGCTTTACTGGGCTAAAGCGAAGCCTAGTTCTTTTAGTCTTGCATTACAAGACAGACTGTTTATTTACCTGATCACATCAGCTTTTTTTTGTATCTGCTCTGAGCATGGATGATCACAAGCGTGTATAGTACTCCACATGAGGTCTCACCTCCTAGTAACCTAGCTCACCTAGCTCCTAGCTCACTTCCTGAACTCCTACTATAAAAGTATTAACAATTCTTTTTAATTTTTCCTAGAAACACCGTACTTGGTAAGAGAAGGGTTGCATTTGTCTTTTTATGGCTATATCTCATTGGCGACACAGACATCTACCGATCAATATCATAAATTAGAATTAATTCATAAATTCATAACATTTTGATTTTTGTGTCATTATTATTTCAGTCATCAGGCCATCTGATTCTTCCTTTGTGATATCCCAATCTTCTTCCACTTTGATGATCCCTCCCAACGTTGTTTTTTCAACGAATGGGCCAAGTACACACAACTTTTGAGACAAGGTTCTCAACTGAAATATTTAGTAAAACTGGCAATAAGACTAGTTTTTAAAAGAACTTCATTATGAACTTTCCTCTTCCAAATATACACTAAAATCTTGCATACCACCATCATATTAACAAACCTCTGGCTGCCTTGATTACTTTTGCTTACCTAAATAGAGGTACTATATTCGCCAATCTCTAATTATATAGCATCACATCTGCCTTGGTTGAGTTATTTAAAATCTTGGCTGCCAGACCTATGATTTAATGTGCTAGCTCTTGCAGAATTATTGGTTACGGATTATCACCTCCTCCAACTGGAGCACATTCACATATTGACTCAGGTACTCTGCGCTTTCTATTTCATACCATTGTGTGGGTTGGCTCTTTCTCCACCTTTTTAGTAAGCATTGCTTTAATAAGCTCAACAAATAAAAATTGTCAGCTTTATATATGAAGTACCAGCTTCCAGTTCTGAACATCTCAGCGATGAAGTCAGAATGCTGGTTTTAAGGTTCCTGAAGAAAGTTCCCGGAATACAATCATAATGTAATAGAACGAAGACTAGATTTTCATCTTCTTTTGCCTTTAACTTTTGCATTTTAAATATCTGGTTAGAGTCATAAAGAATAACAGTCATTTTAGATTTTATTAGAAGTCTTGATATTATCTTGATATTATCAACTATGAAAAAAAGGTATTAAGAACGTCAGGGAAATCCCAAAATACCTTCTGTTAAAGGCTTTTTGTTTGTGTCTTAATCAAACTAACAGATAGGTGATCTTTCCATTAAGTTGCCCAAATCTGAGGAAAAGAATGCTACTTACTTATAGTTATCATCTTCCACAAATTTCTGAAGTTCTTCAATATAACGGACAGACTTTAAATACTTCTGCACATGGGGTAGTGTTGTAAGATGATCTGTAGAATATTAAAACATAAAAAGATGAATACTCACATCAAAAATAAATGAAATTGTTCTTCAATTTCTTCTGCTTCTCAAATTATCTTAATGGAAATAGAGAATGTGAACCATCCTGAAGAATAAAGTGGGTACAAATACTATTTTGTCCGTTTTTGTTATGAGGATGGTAGATTTGATCAAGCAAAAGTGATGCTCAGTTGTTAAACACAACACAGATGCATTTTATTACCATGAAAGCTAGAGATTTATTACATGCTATCAATTAACAAATTGAAAAATGTTTTTTTTGTGCAAGCCTTGCTTGAAGTTTGTGTTGACTATTTTGGAGAAAATCAAAACATGCAGACATGTTGTAGTATCTGACTTAACTTTTACGCTCACTTAAAAAAAAAATGTTTTAAAGGCACCCATTATTTCTGAAGAGTGTTTCTTCAAGGCCATATTTTAACTTGCTCTCAGATTTTTTAAAAAAGCATTAAAAATTAATATATAGCAATACAGGAAGTTGCTATAACTGATAAAAGGAGTAGTCAGCAAAATAATAAGTTTTTTGTCATTTAAAGTGGTCAAAGACAAAACAAAAGTCACAGTAAAAACATGACACCTGAATAATCTAGCTCTACAGAATCATAAATTATTATGCCTAATCCCTAGCTTTAAATCCTGATAGATGAAGAGGGTGTGTATATATAAATATAAAAAAAACACACACACACACATACACATTTTTATATATGTTTATTTCTGTGACTAAACTAGCACAAACCAGAAAAAGCAAAATAAGCAATACTTATTGATTCTGTCACTTTTTTCTTTCTCTGAGAACTGAAATTCCACTGACACTCTAAATCTGTCGACAGAATAATCTTCCTTCTTTCCTCACGTTTCAACCTTACAACAACTGACTGAACCCATGAACGTTTATGATATTAAAGTTGACAAGGATAAGGGCAGGCATATTCAGGCATACAGAAGTAATTTCAATAAAATAATAATGAAATTAACACACTGCACACTCCAAAGACTACTGCAAAGGGAAGGAAAGGATCTTAAGATAATTCTCTCTCATTGCCTCTGGTGGAAACAAAATATAAACCAAATGCAATAGCTGTACTTGAAAACATGACATTTTTATTCCATATGTACTTACATCGTTCTAGTAAACTTCACACAACGTCTGTTATGGCTCTCAGAATTTAGAATACATACCCATTTGTCTAATTTGCCAGTAAGGCTGAAACTGCACAGCAGTGGAAGCTAAATCATTCAGTAGTGTCCAACTCTACCAACTTTAGCCTCATGTGTTGCCTTGACACAGGGCAGAAACCTGTTATCACGTTATTGTATTACATTTCAGTTAAGACTGAGTAAGTGTAAAAAATTTACCAACCATAGTTACAGGAGACTTGCAGATCAGCTATTATTCGGAGAATATTGTTCATTTGATTGGATCTTTGTTCATTCTCCATGATGCTGCCTGAAGCGGGATATGCAGAATCAATGTAGATTAAATCTAAGAGATAAATCCCTGAAACAAACAAAAAAAATCAACCAGTTGACCTAGTGTTTATATAGGAATCGTTATGTCATTGTTAATGACCAGAACAGCCAGTAACCACTGACCACCATTGTGGGCTGGTCCCATAAAAAAAAGGGGAGATTGGGTCTTGCACGTTCAGTTCTTAATTAGTATTTTAATTGTATGACTCTCTTAAAAAAAGAACATAATAGATTTTGATCATGTGTACTGATACAGGCTGACGTCTACTATGGAGAATTTGCAGGACCATAATGGTGACACTGCAAAAGTAAGACTGAGAGCTGCCATGAGCCACTGATGACGGTAAAGGCAATGCGCATGAAGCAGAGAGCAAGTACAACAGTATCTGGCTACAGTGAAGAAAGTTTCGCACTGCACTGTAGCACCTTCTAGGTCTGCCACTATTTACTAAATTAAGATAGCATTACATGTTTTTGTTGGGTTCCACGTTGCATTTGCTAAAAGACAAAGGAGAATTATATTTAGGCTTTGATTATGTGATGATTTCAAAAAGGATGAGCAAAAAGTTTTGTATTTATTTAATTCCTTGTTGAAAAATGGCATAATTACTTTGCCTAGGCCCTGGATTTTTCAGCAAATACAGGAAGATGGTGATTATTGCAGTTGCCAAAAATACTAATTGTGCTCATCTATATTGCACTTTTCATCCAAACAGATTTCCAAAGCATTGGCAGACTAGTCCAAATGTTGACCTTGGGTGGGATTGAACGGTGTGGCAAGATGTCAGCTTCATCACTGAAAATGTACCTGTATCCAAATGTTTAGTAGGCAGGTATTCTGCAGAGCTAGTCTTTGTTGCATGGTACGTCTACCTTCATGAATTGTATTAGGAGGAAAGAGGCAAGCTTAAGATTGAAATGAATTCACAATACTGAAAGAATTTCTTGCATGGAACCTGACTGCATTTATCAACGTGTAATCTCAATTTCACGCATGTCATTATGATTTGTAGTGGGCTTCTTTTACTGCTCTGGGACAGTCAGAAAGCCATCACAAATGAAGGAAAAATATGGACTATGAAGTATATATAACATAATTATCAAGTTTGAGAAAAATGAAGCAGCAGGGAGATCGCACAGAAAGTTTTAGCTTTGAATTTTGGAAACCTGAAACATAATGGCACCTTACTTTTAGTTCTGCAACACAGTCTTGCAACACTCAAAAAAGCTACTATGAAAGCATAATGCAAGGCTCACATATTTACTTCAGTAACTTACTGAAGGCGCTTAAATGAAAAGGAGAAGAAGTGAAGTCAGAAAAGAAGACTGATGAGAGAAATATCCCTGAAAATACAGTACCCTATAAATGCTTTAAGCTCATTCTATAGCAGTATCGTGGTATCTTTATTAAAGGAGAATTAGAATCTTGCCATTCCAATCTGGTGCAATTTTTTTTTTTTTTTTTTTGCATTGGCACAAATAATCATTGAATAACGTAGGTTGAAAGGGACATACGGAGGTCATCTATGCCAAACTCCTGCTCAAAGCAGGGCTAAACCGAAGCTGGATCACATTGCCCAGTGTCTTATCGAGTCACGTTTAGGGATGGAGACTAACTTCTCTGAGCAACTTGATCCAACGCTTAACCATTCTAACATCATTTTTTAAATTATTTATATTGTTATAATTTCCCATGTTATAACTTGTGACTGTTGCCTCTTGTTTGCTTGCTCTGCACCTCCAAGAAGAATCTGGCCTGTCTTCCCTATAAGCTCCCGCACATGACAACAAAACGTGTAGTAAAAAAATCATAATGAATCGGACCCATAGAACTTGAGAACTGTTGCTTGTTTTGCTCCTACATAAAATTTAGAAACTAACAAACAGGAAATACCCTTGCACTGAAGCAAATGCAGCAATACACACTCATGCACAAAATAAAAAATTGTTGTGTGATTAATGGATGAAATCTAGAACCTCACGCAGGTGGATCTTAGAGTTTAAAACACTGAGTAAAAGTAGAAAAATTACATCAAACAACAACAAACAATTAAATCAGCTTCATAAAACCATTTCAAGAAGTCAGCCAGCCTAAGACTTTGATATGCCCTAAGATTTCTGGCTTTCCACTAAATCCATTAGTAGGTGAATGTAGGCAACCTAACTATCAAGACGCTCTAGCGTAACTAAGAGTATTACTGGTATCTTCCTGATTGTTTACAGTTATTTTCCATTTCATCCATGAAATTAGACTGAAATCTTCAGGAATGTGTGATAAAATTTTGATTCTGCAGAACTGTGTTGCACTCTATAATAACTGAACAGAAGTTCACAGCATCTCAGAGAAGCGAGCAGGACTGTCTTAGACACAGAGTCTGCCTGTGCAGCCTTCTAGGGAGAGCGGAACCTGAAGCATTTTATGCTTTCTAAAGCATAGCTTTTCAGGAACATCTTTTTACCATCTATGTAAGTGCTGACTACAAAAGCATTGCAAGCTTATAGCTATTACTCCAGTTCTGAAATCATATACAAAATATCTTTTCAACTCTTCTTAAGTTAGCAAGCAGCCCAAAATAAAATGCCATTAGAGAAAAGATTTTTGTGTAAGCTTATTGCACTCAGAATGGATGTTTAATTATAGACTGTCCAAGTCTTGAGACTTACACTCCCAGTACCTGATTACCAGGAGCTCAAAGATTTGATATTCTAGTGCTACTTGTTCTTCCACCTCTGCTGAAGCCAATCTGATGCTCCTAAAAGCCAAAATTCCAAATTCTTAATTTGATAAAGATAATTCTTATATCCATAGATTTGAGAGGAAGAGTTGGGAAATGCAGCACCTTTTGAAAGCAAGAGTGACATAATGATTAATTAATATTTTTCACTAGTCAGTATTCAGAAAATTCTCTGTAAAAACCTGTGCCATAGAAAACCAGGCAAAGATTTCTGCAATGCTTGGGTAAGTGCTGCTCTGGAATTTTTGACTCCGTAGTTTAGCTAAAAAGATAAATAGCATAGTCTCCGAGTCTCAGATGTCATTACACAACTCTCTCTGACCTCAGTGATGCTGGAAGGGAAATCCTTTATGAATAAAGTGAGAAAACTCTGTACAAAATGTACTGAGCCCGTTGTGAATGCTGTATTCAAACAGACCAAAGAGAAATCATTGCTTTACTTGGTGATCACTGCAGCCATTGCTACAGTGTCAAAACCATTAACTCAGTCTGATCTTTCTTTAAAAAATTGCTCAGACATTTAGGGTCAACTAAAAGGCAGAATTTAATTTAATGTATTTTTAAACTATTTTATGAGCTGCATGACAAAGTCGGTGATCCTTTGTTGCACAGAAAAAAAAGGAACATTCCGTAGGCCAGGAAAATAACTTGTGCAGCATAAAAATCCATATTAAATTTTCCATTTTCTTTTTTGAGCGTGTTTATAATCAATGACATTTTGCCCACGTTTTCTTGCCTCGCCTTGAAAAGTGCACTCTACCTTTTCAGAAAAACAGCTAGCTGCATGAGCAGAATCTCATTCACTTCTCAAGTACACCTGATACTTCATTACTACATAGTTTTACAGCTCAGATTCAGTCTTGCAGTGGAATTTTGCATATCTCAGGTGTTGTCTGGAAGATCTCCATTAATGCTTCTGCCCTGAGACTTAGGAATACCATATGGAAATTCCTTACAAGACCTTTTCTCACTGGAGCTGGGCTTGCTACTGTTCTGTCTCTTCAGAACTCTGCCACCTTGACCAATAAGCAGCTCACTGGGTCATAATGGAATTTGTCCAGCAGCAGTGAGGCTGTAACTGCCTACTTCATTTCTTTAGCGCTTAGCCTATTCATTCATGTGTTCTGCAAAGAACAAAGAAATTATATGAACTGTCAAAGAAAAATTAAGAAACGGATAGAGGCAGTAAAAAGCAAGAACAAACTCAGTTCATTATGAACTGTTAATGATTTGCCAGGAAACCATATGGCCATGACTAAAGTGTCCTCTCAAGACTACACCAACCTGTGCATTTTGATTAAGAAAATACCATATCCCTGATAGACCTACTGATGTGATAGATCACAGACTGCTCCAGTGGTCGAAGATAATTTGATATCTCCACCAGAAATAAAGGATGTTTAGTCCTTACAAGTGAGTAGAGTAGTTTAATTAATAATGTGACAACATATAGCCCCAACTGGAACTGCTAGTCTCGCTGTTTAGCGATCTGGTCAAGTTTTACAGTCTAGTTTAACTTCCTTCAATGGCCCAAATCAGTCCTTTAAAAATGTTCTTCCTGCATTGATAATGCTTCCTCTCCTGAAGAGATAATATATCTCATAAGTGTATATGTTTTGTAAGCGGGAAATTCATACAGCTCAGACTACCTCAACATGTTTCGCTGAAAAGCAACCTGGAGTATTTATTGTTTTCTCCCCAAAAGTACTTTCTAAAAACCATTTTTTCATTTCCATCTCCTCACACCTGTGGAAACAGTTTCTAAGACAGAACTCTGTACCATTAAAGTTATGTATGTTTTCAATAAATGCCTTCTTATCTGTTCTGCTTTCTGTCAAAAACAGCCCTCCATTTTTGTAACCTGTATTAGTGGTTTGGAGTTCCAGACCTGTGGACTAAGTATGATGATCTGATTCTTATTGCTCTCAACTACAATAATATCACAAGCCAAAGGTGACCAACATTTAAAGGAGGCCCAAGTGACTGACTTGGCTTCTCTGTATGGTTTGAATACAGCTCCATTAACTTCACTTTTCTACAGCAGTTTATTTTGTCCCTCTGTCCACATGCTTGGAAATGGCGAAAAATCAAAATTTCACTCAAGAATATTAGGTGAAAAGGACAGCATGGTTATTTTTGTATATTTAGACATTAACATGGGTAATGTTTTAAACCTGAGAGACTGTGGATAATTCTGCAACATATAGTCTATTGATAGCTATAAGCGGAGTAACTTTTGGTGGTTGCTGGTACTTGCTGCCATCTTATTTTATATTAAAATCTACAGCAACCA